AGCGCACTTCCATAGTAAACTTGCTCACCCTCGGGCTCGAGGATGTTGTCCAGATAATAATCATCGTCATCGAGATTGGCAATAGCCTCGATCATCGGGCCTTCATAAGCTAACATAGCAACATTCTTTTCCTTGTCTCGGTGCTGAGGATATGGTTGTTCTCGGATGTCTTGAGTCCCTTGCTTTTTGAACCTCAATTCGTCTGCCTCGACTTTATCTCTGAAGATTTTCCTGAGAGTCCAACACTTCTCTGTCGGATGTTTCAATGTACGATGGTAGACACAAAATTCAGGGCTCTCACGGTCCTTTTTTGATGGCATTTCTTCGACATAAGGCAATTTTAGCACTCCGTCGGCCACCCATTCCTTAACTAGAGCTTTTACTTCCTCGATTCCATATGGATAAGAAACATTCCCCTTTTCACCATTACATTGCTTTCTCTTCTGGCCTCTATGATCTCCTCCTTGTGACTTTCGGGTATCTGGGCCAGAGGCAGCAGCAACAATAGGTCCACGAGACGATTTGAAGCTAGCCTTGTAACTGGCCTTAAATCCGGACTCCTGAGCCTGAGGAATGCTAATGTTCTGAGCTGTTTCTATTAATGCCGAGAAGGTGGGTAGCTTGTGATTAACTAAAAACATTTTGTACCTGCTCAATGCCTATTCTAGACAGATTTGAACCAGATAACTCTCCTCCACTGCTTCATGGCAATCCACGGCCTTGTCCTAAAACCTTTTGACGTAGTCAAGGATGTCTTCACTTTCTTGCTGCTTCTCTTTACACAATGTAAGTGTGGTCACCTTCTCCGCCACTTGAAAGAACTTGGAGTGGAATTTGTTAACCATTTCCTCCTAACTTCGGACAGAGTTTGGGGCCAAATTAACATACCAACTATATGCTCGGTCAGTGAGGGACTTAGAGAATTCTCTCAGCCGGAGGACGTGGTTTGAACCATGAATACCCAGAGTCTCGATGAATCGCACAACATGTTCTCGAGCATTTCCTTGTTTGCCATCGAACTTGATGAATTTCGGCACTGTATACCCCTTAGGGTATGGATAGCTCAGCATCTCAATGGAGTAAGGCGGCTTGACGTCTGGATCAAGCAAAGAGGGTAAGGTCCTCTTGCCCCGTTCGAGATCGAACATGGCCTGCACATCGGCGAGAGTGAGAAACTGTTGAGGCAGAGAGTTTGATGGTGGTATTCCCGAAACTTGGCTTATGGACCCGAAGACTGAGCTAGGGGCGACTTGGCCATTCTGGTGCTGCGAATTCATCATTGGTGAGGACATTTGACGATACTGGCCATCAGCGCCTATAGACAAGCTAGTTGGTGATGGGACATTGAATTGAGGCTTGTAAAGTCCACCGCACGGTGCCGCTATACCAGGTTGTGCTTTGCAAATTTGTTGTTGGCACCAAAGGAGGCCCGCCTGGTACTTGAGTAACATTTACTGGTGGCGTAACAAGATTAGGTACGGGCAGAGCTCCCTTTTGCGCCATCATGCCCCTTATGTTTCTTGGACACCAACAGTTGCTGGAGCGCCATTCATTACACCAGAACCTCCCCTAGTCACCACTGGATCTTGGCTTGGCACGCTGTGGAGCTCGGGCATGGGCAAACTGCTGCCGCCTACTGTGGTTTAAGCATGTGTTACTGTGGCCGTGTTGCCATAAGCCATAGGCTGATTGGGGCCTACTTCTCCTTGGATTTGATTTTGCGCTTCGGCGGGAATAACTCCACCACCCGTTTGATTTCCGTTTGGCGTCGGTGCAAAATTAGAACTCATCACCAACATGGTGTGAGTGAGATTCTGAAGAGTGGTAAGAATCTCCTGTTGAGTATTTTGAAGTCCTTGAATGGCTTCAAGCAAAAGTGGTTGGTTTGGAGCCGTGGTTCTGTCATCACCACCATTAGAGGATCCTTGTTGGTGAACTTCATCTTCTCCTGCCATCCTTGTTGGAGTTGTGTGGATTCCAGATCTCGTTGAGACCATTAACCAATCCGCCTTCCCCAGCAGAGTCACCAACTGTATGAAAGGGTTCAAGAAAGGGGTTGGAAAATTCGAAGATCTTCGAAGATCCTTGAAGAACAATTTCAAATTCTCTAGAAGATGATGAGAGGCTTAGATTCTTCAATAGTCTCAACTCAAGAACACAAGAATAAAGGAGATGATGGAGATAAGAGATTGGGTGAAGAAGAAGGCAAAGTGGCTAGAAAGAGAGAGAATAATGGCAAGGCTCTCCAATGGATCTCCCACTTTCACTCTCAAGGTTGATAATGGAGAAGGGAAATTAATTCTTTCCCAAGAGTTAAATCTCCAAAATCCCTCCCTTGCAAAGCTATGGGTGGGTGCTATTTATAGGCACCTCATGATGTAGGATGGAGCCCATGTGTGAGGCACATGGGGAATATTCTCTCTAACCACCTTGTCTGAGGAGGTGACTTCTCCGAGGATGAGGAAAACCCCGAAGAGGAGATCAACCTCTCGGCGAACCCTTCTTCTTAGCCACACCTAACCAATGATCCATAATCATCCCAAAGGGTTAGGGGTAGTCCCAGAGGACGTCCTGCCGCAAATATTGCCGAGTCTCAGGGACCCCCTAGATCATGCCACCTCGACCCAGGTATAGGCTAGTTTAACCGAAGAGTGAATTTATCTCCACTCACCGTCCTCGGGATCGGGTCCTTTGTTCGAACTCCATTACGCCCATGGTTCTGGTACATAGATCCCAGAAAGCTCCAAGCCCGCAAGTGTTCTGGGACTCATTAGCGGAGCGACTTTTAGATTGCGTTTGAATCCATTCGAAGCCAAGTGCTTCGGATCTCTAGATTTGTGGATCCGAATCCTTTCGAGTTCAAGTGCTTCAGATCTCTAGGCTTGCTCAATACCCTTTCGAGTCCGAGTGCCTCGGATCTCTAAGCTTGCTCAATACCCTTTCAAGTCTGAGCTCGAGTACGTCTCTAAGTTCGTTGATCCGAACCCTTTCGAGTTCGAGCCCGAGTAAGTCTCTAAGTTCGTGGATCCGAACCCTTTCGAGGCTTAGAGTGATTCGGCCCGTTTGATGGCGATAAATCCGAGCCCACCAATTTTGGACTTGCGATAAATTTAGGCCCATCAACATTAGACTATTGGGCCTAATTAATTTAATGGGCTCAAATTAGCTCCTCTTACACAAAGCATTCTTTCTCACGGTTTTGGATGTCGCCCTCACGATTTTGGCTGCTCTTCCAAGGAATTCAATTTCATCTATTGAGGCAAGCAAGTAAGTCGAGAAAATTATTTTTTTATTTGGATTTAACTTGCATGTATATATTTGAAAACATTATTTATGAGTTCTTTTTTTTTTTTAAGTTTGTATGTATTAACTTGTTTATGTTATAATTGTGATTACAATAATTTCTTTGCCAATTATATTAGTGTGATAAAAGAATTTAATTAAATATTTTAATGTAAAAAGTAAAAAGCAAATTTTTAATTTTAATTATTTTTCAGAGTTTAGCTACTTGTATACATCAAACAACTTAATTGAATCATTACTTAAATTTCAATACATACAAAACAGTTTTTTGGATTAAAAAATTCAACCTTCAGTTTTTCGTACTTAATTTTCAGTTTTATCAAACAACACCTAAGAGTTAGACTTTTCAGTCTTCTATTAGGAATGAAGAAAAAGCTGAGAGAGAGAGAGAGAGAGAGAGTGAGAGAAGTCGAGAGAGATAGAGAGGGAGGTCTGGCAGCGATTGAGAGAGGGAGAGGGAGAGGTTTTGTTTTCAATATGGTTTTGCTTTCAAAAATAGAAGAAGATGAATATCAAAGAGCCTGCGAAGCAAATACAAGGAAGAAGCTCCACTTTCGTAGCCCTAATCGAGACCGGATCACGTTTTTCTTTTCCTCCCTTCCCTCTCAATAGACGCGCGATTCTTACACGTTTCTCTCTAAGAAGTGCAGAATCGTGTTTCTTAGAAAGAAACGTAACTTGTTTGTGCGATTCCTGCTACTATGCTCATGTCCAACCCATGTAAACCCAATTTTAATTGGGTTTGCAAGGAGCAACCCATTTAAACCCATTTATAATTTTGTACATGTGTAAATGGGTTTTACATGGATATAATTGGGTGGGTTCATGGGTTTGGATTGAGTTTGTCACCTCTAGCTATATCTTATGACACTTAATCAAGCTAAGATAAATAGTTTAAATTTGAATTTAATTGGTAAACAATATGAAGAACATGGATACATTTGGAGAAAAAGATTCAACAATGTTTTTTTTTGTGAAATAGAGCTTCAATTCCAAAGGCAATTACTACTTTGCAAAAACACAATTATAGACGACAACAAATCACAAACACTTACTTTTCTGGAAGTTGAAAAGAAGGATAAAGCTTGTGTAGTATATTCACAACTTCAGAGTAGTGTGCGACTCTCTCAACCAAACAATATCTTCCATTGGCTGAAGGAATCTCATATGCTTGAATGTGTGCATTTGCAACATCTTTAACATTAATCCATCCAAATGAAGCATTTGGATATGTTTGTGAACCTACACAACAGACAAGCAAATTGTATGGGTTAATATGTCAAAGAAAAAGGAATTTTAACATAATATTTGATGTAGATATCAATTACTTCCATTAAATTTAATGGTCATTTTTAATTCCAAATCTAACTGTCAAGTATAAGTGACTGGTAGGCTATTACAACGCTTTTACTAAATTTACATTTGCAAATTACAGTATATAGAAATATTTTATGTTTTATTTTTATCTTCACTAAATAAGCAAGGATATTGAAATGAACGAAACATAAATACAACCTCAAGATACAGGGAGCTTCTGTTTACCTGCTACACATTCTCAATACACACCATCTTCCAAATTTTTTTTTAATTGCACTTTTGTCCGTCAAACAATTTACTCTTTTGGACAAAAACCTATCTCTTGATACACACCACCTACACTACCATCTCTCAGTACACACCACCAGCCATTGCTACCACTGCGACCTCCTCCATTCTCTGCCACCCCCTAGCCTTGTCGGCCCTCTCTAATTCCTCTCCAACCTCGTTGTCCCTCCCCATGTTGTCCCTAGCGTCATTGCCCCTCCCCAGCCCTCTCTCTACTGCCACCAACTACTCCCACTACAGGAAAAGTAACCTATTGCAACGTTTCTTTTATGGCGTTTATGATAAACGCCTTTATAGATTAGTTAGATACAATGTTTTCAAAACGTTGTCTCCGATCTCAGTAAAACGGCACCGTTTGAGTCAATTCGTTGACACCGTTCAATACTCCGTCCCTTTCAAAACGTCTCTCAGTCTGAGTCTCAGTCCCAGTCTCACTCACTCTTCCACAACTCAGACTCTCTCTCTCTCTCGCTGGGAAACCCATTCGATTTGAAGCTCAGAAACCCTCACTCTCGCCGATTTGAAGCTCAAAACCCTCACTCTCGCCGATTTGAAACTCAGAAACCCTCACCCTCACTCGATTTCAAACACTCTCGATCGATTTCAGATCTGTCGATTTCAGAACTTGTTGTAGATTTTGAAGGTCACTAGATTTGTGCTTATCTTCCGATTTTGGTTCTCCTCTCTTTCGATTTTGTGACTTTCGATTTTGGTCCTTTGGTCAATCTAGATTTTGAAGCTCGTTTAGGCCACCTTTTTTTTTTTCTTCCCTTCAAGATCTGTAAGTTTGTTGCTGCTCTGTTTTGTTGCAGATCTCGCTCAATCGGTCGCTTCTTTTTGTTGCAGAACTCAGATCTGTAAGTTTTTATTTTATATGCATTTGTTTTGTATGAACTCAGATCTCTGATTTTTCAAATCTATTTGATATATATATATATATATATATATATATGTGTGTGTGTGTGTGTGTTCTCATTGTTTTGAGTTCATTGTTTTGGATTTGGTGGATGTATCTCACCTCTCTCTCACGCACACACATCAAGCTGCTAAATGTTGCTTTCTAATCTACATATATGTGTGTGTGTTTGTGTTCTCATTGTTTTGAGTTCATTGTTTTGGATTTGGTGGATGTATCTCACCTCTCTCTCACGTACACACATCAAGCTGCTAAATGTTTCTTTCTAATCTACTCAATCCTCTTTAAATTTGTTTTCGTTTACATTTCTTCTAATAATTACCCCAATTACAAGTCTAGGTTGTGCTGCTGCCTTATTTTTATCTGGATTCCTAATTGCTATCTTCCATTAACGCTTGATCGTGCCCTAGAATTATATGAACGTTATTAGATTCGTCATTTATTTGTTACATGAATTTTGTGGGGTTCTCTATATTCTTGTTGTTCAAGTTATTTATATTTATATTTTTTATTTTTCTGTGATTTTGTTTTAATACTAACGATAAAGAAACATTTCAAGTGTAGAATTTGGCAATTTTGGATGGACAAAATGTTATTGTTTGATTGTAGTTAAGCACAGAGTGTTTTGCTTTTGGCTCCTTTCATATAAATTGGGCACTTGCTCATAAGATACTTTGTGGAAAATAAGGGCATTATGTGCAAAGTTGTTTTGGGTCATTTGGGGTTGCTAGAAATTACTCCATTAATATTATCATGCCTGGTTTTGCTGAATTTTGAGTTACCCTGACAATGTTCAAGCTCACCTTCCCTCAATTGAGTTTGCTCTAGCTCAATTTGAGCTTATTCAGCTTGGTTGCAAACGTGCAACAACTTGGTTTCTTTGCTCTTAATATAATGAGCAGGCAGGGTCATTAAAATGAGCGTTATATTTCTCTTTTCAAGTTAACATGGTTCTTCAATTAGCAAGGCCAAGGCTGGCCAGGTGCCCGTATTTTATTTTCAAGAAATAATAATAGGTTTCTTCATCTTGATTTAGTAAATATGTGGGGCTAAATTGTATCTGAAGCATTTGTAGTGCATGTATACATGAAAAGGAAACCTATGTTTGATGTCCGGAGAAGATTATTTTAATTGATCTGAAAAGTGTAATAGATATGCTAAGATCTGTATATGAACAGTCATCTTACTGTAATAAATTAGTTATGATGGCAATTTGCACCTTACAATTTTTATGGTCTTCTGTTTTAGGGCAAATGGACATCTGGATTGTTAGGTTGGCATAATTAATTGCAAATCATTTTTCTTTATTTTTCTGCAGGTGAGTATCATTGCCCTGTACTGAACAAAGTTTTTACTGAATTTATACACATTGTTGCTGTAAAGACTACAGGAAATGTTTTCTGCTATGAGGCTTGTTTATTTATTGATCATCAATATTAGTAGTCTTTCCTTGTAAGTTCTTTATTTGTAATTTCTATTTAAGTGATCTACACCTCTTCCATTTGTCTTTGTTTCATAGGCAATTAAAGAATTAAACATCAGAACCAAGAATTGGAAGGAGCTTCTCACTGATGAAACATTCACTAGGGCATATCTTATAACAATTCAGGTAATTAGTGGCTTTGGCATGTGGTATCCTAGTTGGCAGCTATGTTTACAGTACTCTTCTAATTTTGCGAAGTACTCATGTTGGACACTTGACACTTGGGAAGGGTATGAGATGTGTTTGATATACGTAGTTGTACATGTTGGAATCCACTCAACAAGTATGTATAAGTAGTTGAATTTACTATATAACTTTGCATGCGATTTCAATTTTATACATGAATTGCTCTATTTTAATTTGTAAACATTATTTTGTCTTTAAAATTAGTATTTAAGAAATATGAAACTGCTTCTGCTTAAAGTATTGTAGATGCTGCTTACGCTTCAGTACATGGAAGGAGTGCTGCAGCTGCAAAGGCCGCATCAAGTGAGAAAACTGCTGTTCGGATAGCTATGAGCATTGCTAGTGAGATCTCTCATGTGCTTTATAAAGATTTTTGTACTAGTTATTACTATAGAAAAATGGTTCACAGCAATCTTTATAAAGATAACTAGAGTTTCTTTCTTTCTTTCTAGTGCCAATCTGGGTTGGTAATTGGTAGCTGATATAGTTTGTTAGAGTGTTTTTGTTATGAGACTTGAACCGTGGGATGCATTTGTTCATAAAAAATACTGTATGCACTTTGCCTTGTTCAATAACCAATTGTGCATTACTATTTGATTTCACCGACATTTTTGATGTAATATACTGTTCCTACGTTTTTGCTGGATATTGGTCTAGATTGAAGTTTACCATACCCTATTTATGCAGGTCATATTGACATCTTTGGTTTACGAGAAGCAACAAAAGCTAAGAATCATGATGAAAATGCATGGGCTTGGCGACGGCCCTTATTGGCAACAAAAGCTAAGAATCTAGCTGGTGATTTTGTTAGGGTTAATATTCTAACTGCGAGTTGATTTATTTTGTTTTTTTTTTCTCTCTATATGGCATTAATTTAGTTATGGATCTGGGTTGCCTTATTTCAGAACACCCCAAATTGACTAGTGAAGTCCCTAGCCTGTTATATTATTGATTGTTACTTGTGGCCAGTACAAGTTTAGGTGCTTGTGGGTACCAATTGGTAATTGATTTTTTCTTTTGAATATGCAAGTAAAAATAGAGATGCTCTTTTGGTGGACAGGTTCTTTCAATTCTAATTTTATTTATTTTTATTGTTTGTTCATTTTTGGTTTTGGAACTCTGGGTTGATGGTGTTTTACTACCTCAGGTGAAAAATTTTGGGGTTTAATTTAGAAGCACCCACATCTTTGATCACAAGATCTCTCATCTCTTTCGCTCGAGGAATTTTTTAAATATATTTAGAAGGATCTAAATATTTAATCATAAGATCTCTCTTCTCTCTCACTCTCTAGGCATGTATGCCCCCACGTGTGCACAAGCACAACCACACACATGTATTGTACGGATTATGATGGCCCCTCTTGGGTGCTCCTCTTACCACTGCATGGCCATAGAGGGGCTGCATTCTTCCTGCTCCTCACATTTGCTTGCTTAAGACTTTGGCTAGGTTTTAGATTCAGGTGCCCACTGTTTCTGTTCATTATTGGGTAGGGTGGGGTCTTGCTGTCTTTTTTGTGGTTGTGGGGGTTGCCCAACCACTTACCTTTAATGAAGGTTGTTGATAATTTGCTAGAATGATTGACAACTGTGACATGTTGCTCCACTTTTTTCATGGTTGTTGGTGCAGAGGACATGCACCATTCAAAATCATTTTGATGATGGTGTGGAATGTTAACCACCAATTTAACATGATGAATGTACTGGTAGACATGTTTTATGCACATGGGACCATTTGACTTCCTCTTTCCAAACAGTTTTGAGAATAATGATATGTATCTTGAAATGAGAGTGGGAGTAGGGGGTGGTTGCATCTACCCTAGTTGCAACCCACAGTTTTCTGTCATTTCAGAAACTTCGGGGAAGGTTGTTACAAATTTACTGCCTCAGAAGATACTTGGAATTTCCTTCAAAAAATAATTTATTAAATAAATAATTTCTATGTTTCAGCCTTCCGCATAAAGTAGCAGCAGGGTTTCATGAGCCTTAGTAATTGGCTGAATTGAATTAACTGAAGACTGGAAATAATTTGAAGTATGAATGTTGCTTGCATTGTCTAAGATTTAACTGTTGAGATAAAAATATTCTGCAACTAGATTAGCTTGTGAAATGAGGCCAATTTTCCCAAACAGTTTTGTTTGAGATTCTTTTTTAGTTTCCTGGAAAGAGCATTGATAAAGAAGTAGAGAAATAACGGTTCAAATCATCCATAGGCTAATGCAACTGTATAACTTCATATCAGCATTGCTTGTTGCTTCCATCGGCTCTGCAACCATGTATATATCATTTTTTAACCATAACGAAGTTCCCTGCTCTGCTTCATTACTTGGATTAGCAAGTATATCATAAAATATTTGTGTTGAGGAATTTTTTTCCCCTTGTGCTTGGAGTTTATGATAATTAGTTAAGATGATGCTGAATTGCTGGAGTTTATGCAGGCCAAGTATGTGGTTTCATCATGTTAGACAAAGTCCAGACAGCAGAGGACGCACTATCGCAGTGAACTATTGTAATTACGAATTTGACGCTTCTTCCTTTTTCTTGTTTTGACTTAAAAAAAGGAGTATAAGAATCTAACGCACATGTTATCTTGCAGGGTATGATATGCAGTTCGATGTAAAATATACTTACTTCAACTTCTTACAATCAATTCCTCACCCATCATCCCATGGTCTGACACTGCATGAAATGGGATTTGTTGGATCATCCTCAGATACATCTATTTGCTATTTAGGAGATGAACCAGATATCAATGCTATCGAGAGGGTGAATGTGGCTGAAAACAGAGATGACAGTGACGAAGAATGAATAATGATGTGTTAATGAGGGTGGTTTGATCTTTGGGGAGCTCTTTGGTGAGAAGATGCAGAGTGTAGAACAGAGAAAAAGCCGGAACATCTTCTATGTTTGCATCATTGAACTTTTGAACAGGTTTTGGGTGACAGAACTATCTCTTAGTATTCTCAGTAAGTTGGGTCTCTTCAAATATTTTTTTGTAGAGTTCTTATTGTTAGTGGGAGAGACTGCTGCTAAAGTAAGTTCAATGAACGAGGCTCCCGCTAAAGAATGGTTTGAGAAGAGCAAGATGTTTTGATGTTCTTTGAAGTACCAAAAGTGACAGCTATGTTTTGATTGGAAATTGGTGGTTTTATTTTCAATTTGTGACTTCTATTTTTGTTTATTTATTTTTCTTAAATGAAGAACCAAACAGAAGAAAAAGAGGGAATAATAACAATACCCGTAGATTGCTTGGTCTTAGTAATCACATAACTCTGTAATATCAATTTTCAACAAAATTTATGATCAATGATTGAATCACAATGACCATCACATTATATTTACTCTTTTTTATATATATTTTGAATGGATTTATTTTACCATTCAAAATAGTATTTTATTGCATATTCTTGCATCAGCAGCAGGGAACCCCCCCTCCCAAACAAAAAAAAAGAAAAAAAGAAAAGTGGCGTTTTTTTTTTTCAAAAAAACGCCACAAAATGACGTCATTGTAGGGAGTAGCACAAATTAAAAAAAATAAAAAAACAGTGACGTTTTTTGAAAAAACGCCACTAAATGACGTCATTGTGACGCCACACGTTAATTTGGGACGGAGGATGAGGCGGTCGTCAAAGTTTTTATGGCGTTTTAAAAAACGCCGTCTAATATTTTTAGTGACGTTTTTTAAACGTTGGGTTGCTATTGCGGCGGCCCTATCAGCGGCGAAAGTTTTACACGTCACTATAAGATATTACGGCGTTTTTAGGGCTTTTCGCGACGTTTTAAAAATGCCGCTAAAAAACGAATTTCCTGTAGTGTCCTCACTGCATCTGCTGAGGTCTTCACCGCCCTAGCTCTCCTCCTTCTGTCATCTTTTTCTTCCCTCCCATCTCGCCTCCTCCCCAGCCTTCTTTTCTTCTAAGGTTTGAAGGAGGGGCTGGGGAGGCTGCAGTGATGGACGAGAGGGTTGTTGTGACAGGGAGAGGATGCAGTTGTGGAGAGGGTGGCAGCCAGTGGTGACGATGGAGATGGTTAGCGTTAGCGTTAGGGTTAGGATAGGGTTTGAAAGTCGGAGAAGATGAGAGCATCTTGGTTATTACTTGAAAATTGATGGTCTGGATTGAGAAAATAAAAAAAAATCAAATTGAGTAAATAGTACTGAGTGAATATGTGGTGCGCATTTAGAGGCTCCGAAAGATACAGCATCTTGGCCAATAAGACATTCTTCCTTTCATCATATGTAAAGTTTTAGATAGCTTGCATACCATTCCATACAATGCCTAAATATTAGATAGAGAGAATGCCAATGCAGTCACTCACAAAAGATAAAAGGAAGTATAAATGCACAAGGATTATTCCTATATAAAGAATACTTACCATTTATCAAGTTCAAGATAGCAGCAGAACTTGTATTAAGTGTTGGTTGTAACAGAGGACCAATAACCATTGCTGGGTTTATTGCAACCTTGTCAATGCCTTTCTCTTTCGCAAACTTCCAGGCAGCATCCTCTGCTAGAGTCTTGGACAGCTGATACCAAAGCCGGTAGCAAATACAGAAAAGGCGACAGGGAGCAATGCAAATTATTAACAACCATCCTCTGCTAGAGTCTTGCAAAACACTCCTTATTTTCATATTGTTTTCTCTTTTTTTTGTTTTCGTTTTTTTTTATTTATAAATATATGGTTTTCTCTTTTTTAGGCAATAAAATTGGAAAATATCTTTTTGGTATTTATTTTTGTCAAACTATTTCCTTATCTTTCAAAACAAATTCAAAAAACAAGTTCGCAAAACTCAACAAACAGAGTCCTTGTAAATGTTTGAATAGTTTACACATTAATTATGCCCATGTTATGCTCCAAATTTGTTTGCACCTGGTCAAAATAATTGTTTGAATAGTTTACACAATGAATTATGTTCCGCTTATGCTCCAAGTTATTGCACAATCGAAAAATCTTCTGATTGAATCTGAAGCTCAGATTTGTTGGGGATTTAAACATCACAAACAATTAAATATATAGTAACTATCACAAAAATACAATAAAAGATAAAATCAAAAAACAAGAAATCAATGAACAAAAAATAATAATGAAAGAAGGGAAAAAAAATTGTCTGTGAGATTTATGAGAGGTACAAGAAATTGATGTCCTAAAGTCGTATTGTCCTCCCTTTACGCAAGTATTGACAACGTAATACCATTCCAAGGTACAACCTAGAATCTCACAAAATGTTTCATGTTGCACAATCAATGGTAGAAGAGCAATACTAGGTATCATGAATTTTTTTTTATGAAAATGATCATGAAAGATTTTTGACTCTTGGATTACACTTAAAATAAAGCACCACACACTAATCAAGGTAATCCAAGGGTCATAATTCTTTTATGATCATTTTCATGAAAGTTTTTTCATGATCCTTAGCTTTTCTCATGGTAGAAAGGAGTGTGAAGTCTTTTTCAAATTGCCTAGAAATAAATATGAGAACATAGAGGAAAAGAAAGACGGAGAGAGTACAAGCAGCGAAGTTGATGTATGGGGTGGTCCTATATTTATAGGACTCTAGGTACCCTTTCATAAGAGATACACCCTTAGTATTTAATGTTGTGAATTAACAGGCGTTACTCCTTAGGAATCAACCATGCATTAAATTTTGAAACTTAAATTTCCAACAAGATCTCTGCTTCTTCAAAACAAGAGAAAATTGGACAGAATTTAGCGTTGAAACTACTCATGGTTCTCTCTGTTTGAAGCTTTTTAGTTGAGCATGAATTTTGAAAAGAGAAAAGTTAGGTATCGTGAAAATTTTTTCGTGAAAATGATCATGAAAGATTTATGATTTTGGATTACCTTGATTAGTGTGTGGTGCTTTATTCTAAGTGTAATCCAAGAGTCACAAAACTTTCATGATTATTTTCATAAAACGTTTTTCATGATACCTAGCATTGCTATTTTGAAAATATGTTAAATTTGTTGAAAGGCACAACCCTACTTTTTTTTCGCAAAAAAATAAAAATAAAATAAAAAAATAGAAGAAGAAAAAAGGAAACTCCTACTCTTTCTCTTTGTGTAATTTCTGGTCTAACTAGTTCCAAACAACACCACCAAGAAGGGCAATGACAACAAAAAATGCGAAGACACTTTTTATTTGGTTCCCTCCAAACAGAATTAGAGTAACAATGACACTGTTCTTGAGAGCTGCTTATACATTATGATCCTAACAGATTGATAAGAAAATTTGAATTTGTAATACATTATACACATCTAAATGGCACGTAAAACTCAGTTTATGCAAGTAATAATCTTTCATGTGCTGATGACATCATTATGTTGATACAGTAGCTTGAGTATCAACAAGAATATAATAAAATAAAAAAGAAAGGAAAAAGAAAAGTCATCGCCCATGGTTGGTTCTGCCAGTTGGGGAGCTAGTAGCCTGAGTTTTACCAGACCAAGGTTGAGCCTCCATAGACATGTAAAAGCTAAATAGCAAAAGTACATGATTAGCAGTTACACAAATACGTACCTTATTTTCCTTGCACGACTTTGGATCAGAAAACCAAGTCTCATCAATTATCACATCAGAAGTTCGAGGCCTACCATTGTATGCAACTGCAGCTATAGACGATGTCAAAACCGCTCGTTTGACAGTTGGGTTTTCGGCACATGATCCCAAAACATTTAGTGTTCCGTTTAATGATGGTTCAATCAATTCTGCCTGAAATGAGGAAGACATACTATGTAAATCAATTGAAAATAATAATTACGGGATATCAGCCACTAGTATTATGAAGCAAATATAATGAAGCTTTTAATCTACTATCAACAAATAGACAAAAGAATACCAAGATGGCTCTTATAGATCATATGCTTGAGATCTTTTTCTGTCACAAGATGAATAAATCCACTAGATAGAAATAACATTCCATTAACCGATTGGAAACTAAAATCAGGAAGAAAAATAATATGCTGGTTATTCAGACCAAAAGTCAATGTCTTTTACTTCAAAAGAGAAGTATCATGAAAAAGAAATCAAGAAAAATCCATACAATATATATAAAAACACCAATTAGCTGGATTATGAGGAACAAAATTTGGTGTCACAGTTTATAAAACTCATCCAGAAAGTGTTTGCCTGTAAAAGGTCACACTCACTCAAAGATAGTTCTGAAAGCAAAGTAGTTAATGATGTAAGCTAGACTTGGAAAAACAAGACCATCACATTTGAGAATGTCCTGGTTCAATCAATTCTGCCTGAAATGAGGAAGACATACTATGTAAATCAATTGAAAATAATAATTACGGGATATCAGCCACTAGTATTGAGAGGGGAGATTTGCGCCGTTGGTACGGCCGAGCAAGATAGGACGGATCTGTTTTGCTCGGTCTAGAAGACCGGCTGACCGGGCGTGAACTAAGCCTGGCCGAGCTGCGAGGCGGTGCACACAGCCAAGTGGCGAGACCGGGCTACGGGTAGCTCGGGCTAAACTTTGGACAAGTGAGGGATGGTACGTCTCTGACCGGTGAGCCGAGATGGGCAGATTCCAGATAACCTCGGATGAGGGTAGAACGGACGGAGGCCGGCATGCCTCGCGACCGGTATGCTGCGATAAACCGGTCAATACCAGCCCGGCCCATGAGCATCATCCCTCTGCCCCTTTGCCAAGGGGCAGTCCGGTGGGGAATAGCGCGGTTGAGTGCCTGTAGTGATAGTTCTTCGCGGGAGATAGGCCGGTTGTGGTACTGCGGTCGGGTGTGCCACCTGGGCCAATGGCACGAGGGAGAGGACATCTGCTCCACGCATGCCTCAATACCGTTAGACAGTTCTGCATGTACTGGTGGGAGGACTAAGCCTTTACACGCGTAAGGTGGTGAGAGGCGAGCACTGCCACCTGTCTTGGGAAGGACAGCAGAGGTAGTGCGCGCATAATCTTGAGGCTACATGGCCAGCCTTAAAAGAGGAAGGAAGACGAACGTTAGAGGTATGCAACTTCTTCCCCAAAGAGAATACTCTCTCTCTCTCAGTCTTCTTCTTCTTCCTCAAGTGGACTGACTTGATCGTCGGAGGGTCTATCCGGCACACCACTGCCGGGCAGCTCACCGTTTTTGTGTTGCCAGGTAGACGCCGTCAAGAGTAGCTCAGAGTACAAGGAGTATGGAAAGCAGAGAATATTTCGCCCCCGTACAATTGGCGTCGTCTGTGGGAAGTTTTTTGATACTCAACCCTTGTTCTTAGAGCTTCTTCGACCATTTCCATGGCCAACAACGGCGAAGCCCCACTGTCCGTCGTCGATGGCGTCATTCCTGAGTACGTCCGCTTGAGAGAAGGTCCTCCGAAT